GGTGTCTCGGCCATGGCCGAGACACCTAGGGGTGGTCTCGGCCATGGCCGAGACACCTAGGGGTGTCTAGGCTTTTCCTAGACACCCCGGGGTATTTCGACTGGCCGGGACTCCGTTTAGGTGTATTTTGTTTGTTTCCCTGTAGATTCTTCGTCCGGACTTGGATTTGAGTGATTCCGGGTGCGTTGGATGCGTGACGAAGAGTTCGATCCGTTCTGGTGATTGGATTATCTGTAGAGTGGTCGAGGCGCGAGGGGCGTTGTCCTTTTTGTGAACAGTGCCGGGTTCCCGATTGGTCCGGGTGTTGGTTGTTCCGAAATCCTATAAACTCACGTGGCTCGTCGATTCACTTCAGTCGTTCGTCGACGTCGATTAGACTCATGTGGATCGGATAGTGACGTTCATCGTCGCTCATTAACACTGAACCGTTTGTGGAGACCTATAGGCAATTTTCGATGCCTACAGTGACATCAATTATTAAATTTTTACTGATACACTTGCAAGTTCCGATATAAAGTGTTATAATTTTTCTACAAAATGAAATTTCCAATGTTTGGTTTTCGACTAGGTAGTTTAAGATTTGTATTCAGGTTTCCATTTTGTAGAAAAAAAAGCTTCATCATTTGTTGTAGAAAATTTGGCTGCAACAAATGTTGCCAAAGTTTCTCATTCACACGTTGTAGTAAAATGAAGACCAAATGAGAAACTTCAGCTGCACAATTGAATGACAACTGAGCTCGGGCTCTTCACTTCAATCTTCAAAGCATTTCTTCGACAGCCTAAGTTTTAGACATGGGCATTGAACAAAAGGACATTACAGAAGACGATAAATACCTCTACAGTCTACACACTCATCGAAAACTGAACTGGTCAACGTGTGAGCATACACCAACTACTGCAACAGCCTTGACTTCTGCAAGAAATATAAATTTACACAAATACATCCCTCTAATGTACAACCTCGAGTTCTCAATTCATAAAAAACTGATGTTCTTGAATAGTATCGTTGAGGGAAGGCGAAGAAGAGCCATTATGTTTACTAGGTACTGGTGTGTTCTTTCGAGATTGTCGCTTGGTAGGTACAAGTACAGTATCAAACTCTCGGTCATCATCAATAGAAAAAGTGTCGTCGTCTTCTCCAGCTTTGAACATTGGGTGGATATACGCATTCAAGAGATAACCTTTCAAGTCAAAATTTGGCTCTCTGGCTTGTTCCAGCGTGTCTGCCATCATCGCTTCCTACAATTTAACAGGCAAAATAACAAAAGAAAATCCATGACACGTGCAACTTGGAGATACAGTACATTATACTGCAAAGCGCATCAGCATTGAGCGTTTTAGTACATCCGCAGAGTTTAGATATCTGCAAAATGAATCACATTCTTCCATCCGTTTTCATTCCATGTCATCTACAACCTCTAACTTAATTATTACTATATCCTTCTTAATACACTTGAAGCATCATAATAAGGCCATTTTCCTCTTATAGTATATACTGATATTTGAGAATACATTTTCAGAAACGTTACAGTGCTGTATGGATGTCAAGTGCAAATACAGCTTAAGCAAAGAAATTCTTCATAGTGAAATTTTAACGAGTAATATGGATTATAAGTTTTTGCAGATAGCAGTGGATCATGTATCAAAATAAATCTTTAAGCACTAAACAGGGGGGTAAGATTGAGGGGAATTGCGTTTTGAGTGGATAGCATGACAAAATATCCAACTACGAGCTTGTAAGTTTGTATGTATTATTGGCAAAATGAATTCATCGTTTAGTCTCAGATGTTAAGAGTGCTCCCGCTACCATCTTCTAACATGTTAATCATATATGTCTACAATTATTCTATGACATTTATGTGATGCTTACCTTAAACGTAAGAAAAATACACTCTGTTGCACTGTCATAGTACTCTAGTATGCCTCTTAAGTAGAGAAATGAAAACTGAATAATTAACAATTGGAGCATATTTTAAAGGGTAAAATCAGACGTGACATAAACAGTAAAAAAATCTTGAATATTTTCAGAAGCAAAGAGAGGAAAATTGATGCAAACATATCCCAAATTTTGAAATTAGGAAGAGAACATAACAATTTAAGTAGAGTCAGCCTGCAACATCTGCTTCCCCAAAGTCTTTGACCATAAAAAGGACGATATAGCAGAAAGGATCTTGAGAGATATCATCACTTAAAAACAGTCGAAAAAAAGTTTTTCATATAAATGATAGGCAATAAGAATATTACGCTTCACACTTACCTGTAATGGACATTTCACAAATGCAGGTTCATAGCGGTTTTTGCAATACCTATGAAAGGAAAAGGTAAAAACTGGAAGAGCGATTAGAACGACGAGGAAAGGTGTTGACTGAGCAGCTGCTTTTGTACTTAGCAACCCAAACAACAGCAACTGTGCTATAACTAATGCAGTGATTATTCGTCCATGTACGGCTGGCCAGAATGCTGCTGCGCTCTCATATTCTTGATTGTAGACGTTTATGATCTAAATCATGATTGGAAATAAGAAACAAGAAATATTTAGTTTCAGTACTATAAGTAGACTCCAAGTAAACCTTATAATACAGCAACAGGATAATTAACAGGACTTGGTTAAGGTATGTGCAAGTATTTTGAATTACCTGATGGCGATATACAACATATGCCAGGCCAAAGAATACAATTACAAAGGGAAGTAAGAAGGGTGTGACCACAGCATAGACAAGACCGAGTAGGAAATATAGTTGTATTTGAGGTTCATTTGAATCAAACCCAATGCTTCCTGGATCCATTGCCTCATCCCTATCTTTTTCAGTCTTCACCAAGAAAAAATTCTTCAAGTGATAGACTATCAAAGGTTTCAACCTTAAAATCTCCCCAGCAATTCCAGCCCAACCATCAAGCATGATATAGGTTATAAAAAAAGTTGCTTTCATAGGAATTGCAGTGCCTACAGTTCTTGGTATTCTGCAAAGAACACAAGGCTAAAAGATATTCCGATCCAATTTATTGCTCAAAACAAGCAAAAGAAAAGGGCTAAATGGCACTTAAATACCACGAAGTTTGGCCGGACTAGCACTTAAATACCACAACTTATATTTGGCAGCAAAAAAATACCACAAGTTTCGTAAAGTTGGCACGTTACTACCATCTGTTAGTTGCACATGGGAATATTACAAAGAATATTCCCATGTGACTCTCACATGCCCAATTGAATGACTTTTAACCTCATTAATTGCGCTAATTACAGTTTGTACCTATCCTCTCCCTCTTTAAAATTTTATCATTCAAATCTAAACCTAACTCCCAAATTCACTCTCTTGTTCTAAAATCATTGCAGAAGCCATGAAACCAAGCTCAAGGCATTCAAGTTCATCAAGTTTTTAATTGGCATTTGCCAAGCACAACCCAGATTTCAAAATCAAGGTAAAGATCAAGTTTTTAGCTAACAATACCTCAAAGTGCAAAAAAAATCTAGGTTAGTTCCACTGCAAATCTCTAAATTTGAACACGAAACCCCTTCACCAAGATCCCAAATAAAGTTTTGATCTCCCAATTTGGGCGAAATCCAAAATCAAAGCTCTAAGGCAACCATTCTTTGTGGAGTAATGTAAAAATATGAGTGATTTGGGTTTTTTTACAATTAGGGGGTACTAAATAGGTGCAAGGGCATTTTTGACCAAACGATAAAAAATTAACATCGTTACAAGGATTCTAATGGAGACATCTTGTGGTATTTTTTTTGCCACCAAATACAAGTTATGGTATTTAAATGCTAGGTTGGGCAAATTTTATGGTATTCAAGTGCCATCTAGCCAAAGAAAAACCTATACTTGGAAATTGACTAACAGTATTCATCTCATATGAGAAGGAAAATCTTACGCCAGAAACTTATACAAACTCTCATGTTTTAAGAGGCATAAAGAAAATTAATTATGTAAACTAGTGGATAATCAATAAAATATGAAATGAGAAGGTGCAAGAGCATACTCAGTTGCCGATTGGTGAATAAAGGTGTTTAGTTGTTCAAAAGCAGCTCCAGTTATTATGCTCCCCAGGAAAACGTTAACAAGTATGAAAATGTAATATTTCCCTGCAGCTCTTCTCTCAAGAGCTGATAAGGAGATGAACCCTTCGAACTTTGACATGAGCATCAATATTGTAGGCAAGAAGACAAGAAAAATCTTCAAAGCAATGCCAGGAAGAAAACCTTGGATGAAGGACTTGATGACTGGCCTGCATGTAAATCAAATTACTGCTATTAAATTTGAATGCTACTGAACAATTTATTATATCCAGTTATCTGCATAGGCACATAAACAAGATCAAAATCAACAAGTGATTCTCTGAAGCATAGTTTCTTATAATTTTAAGTGGAAAAAATGGGAAATATTCATAAGCCTAAAAAGTCAAACAATAAGCTTATATGACAAATAGAATTGTTTGGGTTGATTGATAACGCATGAATTATACTTTGGAACATGAGAAGAAAATGGTGGATGGAAAGCAATTTGTCTACCAGTATCCGTTGGATTACACTCCATGAACATTTGGGCTCGTGTATAAATAGTGCAAGCTTCATAATAAAATACAAGGAATATTAGGCACCTAACATTGAATTTGAATGAGGAGTTTAGTGTTAGAATTGGGGGTGGAAACAAACCTCCGCCGGCGACGAGGAGCTCCGACGAGCTCCGACGAGTTCGATGGTCGCAGGCGAGCTCCGGTTGTCACAGGCGGCGTAGCCCAGGCGAGTTTCGACGGTCGCAGGCGAGAGCTCGAGCTGTGCGTTCGCCTTCCCCCCGAACTCTGCGTCACAGCGATGGAGATTGTTAGGAATTGGGGGTGGAAACAAACCTCCGCCGGCGACGAGGAGCTCCGACGAGCTCCGACGAGTTCGATGGTCGCAGGCGAGCTCCGGTTGTCACAGGCGGCGTAGCCCAGGCGAGTTTCGACGGTCGCAGGCGAGAGCTCGAGCTGTGCGTTCGCCTTTCCCTCGAACTCTGCGTCACAGCAATGGCGAGCTCTGCGTTTTTGGGGGGGGTCCGAACTCTGCGTTCGTGCGAAGCTGGCGTCGAAGCGACCTCTGCGTTCGCTCGAGTTTGGCGTCGAAGCGAACGCTGGCGACAGGCTGTCGCCAGCTCCTCCTCCTCATCCGCCTATAAAAGAAACCCCCAGCTTAGGGTTTTGGGTTGCTGATTCTTCCCCCTCCCCTCCGATTCTTTCTCTCTAGCGGCGGCGGCGAACTGCCCTAAAACGCAGCAGCGTTTTCCCCAAATCGCAGCAGCGATTTTCTGATTAATCCCAGCTTTGAACAGTGTTTGAGGGGATTTAAGAGAGAGAGAGAGAATTAAAGAGGAGTTTGATTGTGGGGTTTTATTCTCAAGTGGGTATTGAAAGGGTTCATACCCTGTTATTATTAACACTGTAGCTACAGTGTTTATTTGAGAAATCCCAGTTTAGGGATCTGCTCCTAAAATTGTAATTTCTTGTTGGATTAATAAGAAATTTACTGTGTGGCTCCCGAGGACGTAGGCAGTTGCCGAACCTCGTAAATCTTGGTGTACTGTTCTCTATACCGCGTTTCCGTTGCATTAGGGGATTTAGGCGTTAAATTCCCAACAACTGGTATCAGAGCGTGAAACGATCTAGAGGAAGTCAGATTCAAGTGGGAGCCATGGCCGCAGATGAAGGGAAAATAAGACTTGAGAAATTTTACCAGAGAGTTGGAACGCTACAGTCACGACAGTGAGTAGCTCGTCGGGAAAGAAAAAGTTGAAGTTCGGCGACGTTCGTGATTTGGTTCTCAGTGAGGAGATCCGACGGAGAGAAACGGGTGAAGCTACAACCTCTTCAGTATTGCATACAGAGTCAAGAGGTAGAAATTCAACCAGAAACGGACGAGGAAAATCAAACTTCAGAGGTAGATCAAAGGACAGGAGGTCCAAATCAAGGAATCCAAGCAACAGCTCGAAGGCTATCGAGTGTTGGAATTGTGGAAAGACCGGGCATTACAAGAATCAGTGCAAGAGTGCACAGAAAGAGAAGGAGGCAAAGGCAGAGGTGAATGTCACATCCACTTCAGGAGGAGACGACGCATTGATATGCTCTTTGGAGAGCAAGGAGGAATCTTGGGTGTTAGATTCAGGAGCGTCGTTCCACGCTACTTCTCAGAAAGAATTCTTCGAGAAGTATACCCCCGGAAAACTTGGATACGTATATCTTGGTGATGATCAACCGTGTGCTATAGTGGGCAAAGGCGTGGTGAAAATTAAGTTGAACGGGTCAGTATGGGAGCTGAAGGATGTCAGGCATATTCCCGACCTGAGAAAGAATTTAATATCCGTAGGCCAGTTGGCTGGCGAAGGATACACCACAACCTTCCATGGAGATGACTGGAGGATTTCGAAGGGCGCAATGACGATTGCCCGAGGCAGAAAGACTGGTACCCTGTATATGACAGCGGGTGCACGTTGTTCGATCTCAGTTGTGGTAGGTAATGAGACTTCAAAGCTGTGGCACCAGAGACTCGGTCATATGAGTGAAAAGGGGATGAAGGTTATGCACACAAAGAAAAAACTCCCAGGTTTACAATCAGTAGAGATTGATATGTGTGAAGAATGCCTACTTGGAAAGCAGAAGAGAGTTAGCTTTCAGACAAGTGGCAGAACCCCCAGGAAGGAGAAGCTAGAGCTCGTTCACTCGGATGTTTTGGGACCAACAACCACCGCGTCGATTGGTGGGAAACACTACTTCGTGACTTTTATTGATGATCACTCTCGGAAAGTATGGGTCTACTTTCTGAAGAAAAAGTCAGAAGTGTTTGAGGCTTTCAGAAGATGGAAAGCCATGGTCGAGAATGAGACCGATTTGAGGGTAAAGAAACTCAGAACAGACAATGGTGGTGAGTATGAAGACACCAGATTCAAGAAGTTCATGAGCACGGGATCAGAATGGAGAGAACCGTGCCCGGCACGCCTCAGTAAAATGGTGTAGCTGAGCGGATGAACCGAACGTTGACAGAGAGAGCCAGAAGCATTCGGATGCAGTCAGGTCTACCGAAGCAGTTCTGGGCAGAAGCAGTCAACACAGCAGCTTACTTGATCAACCGAGGTCCATCGGTTCCATTGGAGCACAGAATACCAGAAGAGGTATGATGCGGAAAGGAGGTAACTCTCTCACATCTCAAAGTTTTCAGTTGTGTAGCTTATGTGCATATAAGTGATCAAGGCAGGAATTGGGGGTGGAAACAAACCTCCGCCGGCGACGAGGAGCTCCGACGAGCTCCGACGAGTTCGATGGTCGCAGGCGAGCTCCGGTTGTCACAGGCGGCGTAGCCCAGGGCGAGCTCTGCGTCGATGGCGAGCTCTGCGTCGATGGCGAGCTCTGCGTCGATGGCGAGCTCTGCGTCGATGGCGAGCTCTGCGTCGATGGCGAGCTCTGCGTTCGCCTGCCCCCTGAACTCTGCGTTCTTTGGCGAACCCGACCTTTGCGTCTGGGTTATTTGCTGGCGACAGGCTGTCGCCAGCTCCTCATCTCCGCTTATATAAACCCCCTCACCTAGGGTTTCGAAGATGCTGATTCTTCCCCTCCTCCTCTTCCTATCTCTCTCTAGCGGCGGCGGCGAACTGCCCTAAAACGCAGCAGCGTTTTCCCCAAATCGCAGCAGCGATTTTCTGATTAATCCCAGCTTTGAACAGTGTTTGAGGGGATTTAAGAGAGAGAGAGAGAGAGAATTAAAGAGGAGTTTGATTGTGGGGTATTTATTCTCAAATGGGTATTGAAAGGGTTCATACCCTGTTATTATTAACACTGTAGCTACAGTGTTTATTTGAGAAATCCTAGTTTAGGGATCTGCTCCTAAAATTGTAATTTCTTGTTGGATTAATAAGAAATTTACTGTGTGGCTCCCGAGGACGTAGGCAGTTGCCGAACCTCGTAAATCTTGGTGTACTGTTCTCTATACCGCGTTTCCGTTGCATTAGGGGATTTAGGCGTTAAATTCCCAACATTTAGCTATACATCCTTTCGAAATAGCCAAGTTCAAAAGTGCGCGCGCGTCTGTTTTTAAGTTAATGTGTTTGCTGAAGTAAGATTCAATTCTCCAGCTTGATTCATTAAAATAAATAAAATGAGAACTATTTAAATTTTCAGATCGTGGAAAAGGTTAGTGGATCTCATTAAAGTGAATTATTTACAAGCATGGATATTCAGGTATACAATTGGGGAAATCACAGAATTAGACAATATAACGCACCAACTTTTAACAAAGCAACTAGAAGAATAATAGAGAAGTAAATATACCTACAAAGTAGGAAAAAGCAGTTAGAAAAGTAAATATACCTACAAACTAGGAAAATCTACAGAATTAACTGGAACATTTAAAATTAAGGAAGAAATAGAAGAAAATTAAGTAAGCTCATAAAGCCCAGTGTGCTTACACTTCTAATACTTTCTTTAGAAATGGAAGAGCCTTCTCAATCCCTTCAATATTGGCAAGTGACTGTACAAACAATATTGGAATCATGAAGAAGAAGGTGAGAAAGAAGAATGCCACAGCTACAATCAACCTTCTAACTGTGAGAGAAACAAATGGAATTGCCAGGTTGTTCCAATATATATCTCGTGGCTCTGGAGCCCTATCAGTCAACCACATTGTTGGATCTCTTGTTTGTTGTGTCTGAGCACAGATTGCTGCCCCCCATCGTGTCCGAAATGAAACAAATGCTGCTGGCATAATAGACTTTGGGGTGTTCTTAATTCTTTCACATTCTGCTGCCTCCTGAACATTGACCATAGAGCATTTGGAAATATATCAACACAAATATAGAATTAGAATTTTAAGTCTTGCATGCTGATTTGAATAGAGCAAATGAGAAAGTATTACATTAGGAAAGTAAAAGGGAATTTGTTAAGGGAATGAACACAAAGGAACCCGAAGATAATTGGAAGCAGGAAAACCAAAGACTAGTTAGAAAGCTAATTTCTCATTGTCCTCTTAATCATATAATTATTATGAAGTGTACTTCACAACCCCATCTCCTCCAAAATGGTCAAATTTCAGGGAAAACAAGATTCATAATCACTGGGCAGTAGTTTCTCTGCAGGTATGGAGTATGAGTACCGTGATTATTCACAAATAAAATTATGCAAATTGCAAAAATATAACCGTAGATCAAGAGGAATTGTATACTTAAAAAACTTACTTTTTTAGATAACTTTTCAATCTCTGACATGTAAAAGTCAATTGCATCTACTTTCTTTCCAAACAGCCCTAGAAAACCAGTCTGATGAAAAGAAAAGGTAAATTCTCGTCAGCATAAATTTCCCAAGTCAAAAATTAATATAATATTTTTTCTCATGCTTGTCAAATAAAATGTTGAAGCCGTCTCCACAATTAACCTTTCCACTTGGCCTTTTCAATGGATTTCTTTCATACTTTAGTTGATAGTAGTCCAGCCAATTTTGCATCTGTTTCTTCTCATTGACAAGCTTAGCAAGTTTGTTTGTGTCATATACAACCTACAAGACATCATTACTTAGAAACAAAGGCCTAAAGCATACCACGTACAAAGTTATACTATATTAATCAAGCATAAATGAAAATCATGGGAATATAAGAAATATAAAATGTTGTAAATTCTTGAAATTTATTATTATATCAGCCACAACTGCAAAGGTTAAAATAAAATTTATTTTGTGAAAAGATATTAGACAAAGTATGAGGGAAAAAATTTTTGGCTGATACCCTTAAACTGCAAAAGTACAGGTATTGACAGAATGGTGGGACACATGAAGCTTCCTTCGGCAGATGAGAATTGCACGCGCTACTAAAATTTTAGAACATAATAAAAATCCACTCCCACGGGTTACAGTATTGCACTTATTAATTTAGAAGTATACATCAGAGATTATATCCAAAGCAAACAGAACGATGTTATTATGGAATAGTATTTATCTCCTTTCCTTTACCCACTCCAGTTTATTTCTATCTCCTTTTTCTCTCATGTATAAGATTACAAGAAAATAAACAACCTTACCAGGATCCTGCACAGGAAAAATGAAAAAGATGTTCAATTGAAGGAAAAATAAAGCGCAAAAAAATTATGTTGTTTATCTAAGACTTGACTAGTCCTGGTGAAGGTGATTGAGAAAGGTCAAAAGAAAGGAAAGATCATAGTCCTGTATCTGTCCTAGCGAAGATGATAGAGAGAGGTCAACAAAGCTTCCCAACAACTCTTGCTAAGAGTGACAGTCTTACTTCAAAGCCATGTCAAGGCTTTACCTATGATAAAATTCAATCAAACCATAGGATGCTAACCCTAACATGGTATTAGGTTATTAGCCGGCACATTCAAAGACTATAAGCAATTGATATCCATACCCAAAACATGAAAAGACTTGCAGTATTTGTAATAGAACAAGAAAGGGGTTTCTCGCTACTATATACATAAGCTCCCTTAATGGACAGGGATATAGCTGGATCCCTATGATTAGGAAGTCAGACATCAACAAGATTCAAACTGCAAATTAACAATGACGACAGATCTTTTAAGAAAGATTTCAACACAAAGTATTATAGACCACAAAAGTCTTGTATTCACATAACAGCCAGTAAACAGTGAGATATCATTGTGCATTGTAATGAAATCTGTATTAGCAGATGTCTTTAGTCAGCATAGGCTTGACTATGGAATACAAAGTTAAAAAATATATCCTTTCTGAACCTAAATTGTTGTTAGCTAAACTTGTATCATGTAATTGAAGAACCAACCTGATGTGTTAGGTAGTTGTCCCGATGATTGACAAGGAAAAAGTGCTCAACAAGCTCGCTAATAGATTCATCTGGATCTGGTGGTACGTTTCTTACAATCACCTGCAATGAAAAAAAAAATGGAATTGACTGAAAAGTAAAACCATAATGATAGTTGGTATTAGCAAAAACCAGCTCATTTTTACAGTTTTGTGCACAGTAGGCATTCAAAGCTAACAGCAATTCAACAGTTGAATCAGATGCATACTGAGTGTGTGTGTGTGTGGGTGGGTGGGTGGGTGTGGGGACATACTTGTAAGAATGCATTCATATAGATGTGCTTTTGAAGTAGTAGATACATAGAATAGTGCCTAGAAAAAAACTTAAAAAGTTTTTTTAGGACAATTCATCATCGTAAATACATGGAGGGTCCTCCCACTGGAAAATACATACTATTCACTTGATATAACATAGTAAACTACATTTGGACGGAAAACTATTATGCTCTTTCAGGTTTTTAGGACAATTCATCATCGTGGATGCAAAACTGAATTGGCGTTTAATAAAGGGCAGTAGGTAACATATGATGGATGTCTTAGAACCACTCAAACCATAATATGCTTCCGTGACGGTGGTCTTAGGAACTAGGGACTCACACCTTGCGATTCATAGGATTTACCTCTTAGGAATTTGAAAACTTACTAGCCAAACAGGAACCACATTTAATGTTTATCAAATGCCCTCTTAGAGATTTCATCTACTAGATGATCTAAGTTTCATAACTATCAGATCTGAATTCCTACATTTGGGGATAACTTTCAGGATCAGAATCCAATTATTCAGATCAGAATTAGATCAGTTATCAGATAATGGAGCTCCGTTGCTACCCCTAGTTGCATCACTTGTGCAACTAATAAACTATTGCTGCCAGTAGAAACTATTTCCCAGGATATTGATATTATTATGGTAGATAAATGTGATCTCATGGACGCCAGCATTTTAGACCTTAACACCCCAATCCCCAGCCCAACCTTTAAAAAAAAGAACAAGAACAAGAAAAGAACACGTACAAAGAAAAAGAAAAATATGAAGATGAATAGCACGTGAGAAGTGCCCTCCATGTAAATTACAAGTGAAACGTGAACTTAAAATTACAGAGAACAAGACTGCAAGTGAGAATTCGGAAAAGCTAAGATTATAATCCATATTCACTGTAGCACAAACAAATGCATAAGAAGGTGAAATCTTTATAAAAATATCTGAGATTTTGATAGAGAAATGTTAATAAGAAAAAATACAAAGAGTTGCAAACTGAATAGCATGTGAGAAGAGAAGTATCCTCCATGTAAAGAAATTGCAACTTAGAATTCAGAGGTGCTCGAATGATAAACCCTATCCGCAGCAACAAAAGAGTAAGCGGGTAAATTCTTTTTGAAAGTATCAATCTGAGAGCATACAGTAAACTGATCTGGACGGCGTTTTTCTGTAGCAAGAAAATGCAATCTCATTGATGCAACTATCTCATACTCTTTAAGTAGAACACGGCAAGTCCAAAATGAAAAGGCATATGCCATCAGTATATGAGCCCAAAACCTGCAAAGAAAATGAGCAGATCAATAATTTTTTTTGAATCAAGCTAACAAGCTAACAAATTAAACCAAAATGCAGGATAAGTGAGACTGAATAAGATAAGCATAAAAGCATATGGAGACCTGTGAGAGTATTGGTTATGGAGATCAATACACTAGATGCGAAGGATTGATTGAGGAGTAAAAAGAGGATATGCTACTTGTTAATTCAACATGAAAAGAACCTCAGTAGATCTGAACGGAGAGGAAAGGGATTTGTGTGGTTGATCCCAAAAATTGCGGGACAAAGGCTTTGATGTTTTTGTTGTTGCTGTTGTTGTTGGAAATCATGGCCATTGAATATTTGACTTTCCCTTCAGATATCTAATTTAACTTATGACACAAAAATCAGGACATGGTTCTTTACAGTTGCTACTCCAAATTGAACACGTTAAGCTTATTGTAGAGGACACTAGTAATATAAACAGAAGGCAAATTTGTCAGTGTAAAAATAGCTTAAGTTATTTAGAACCCATATATATAGTTTCCATTCATAAAACTTCCATAAACTTGAGCAATTAATATTCCAAAAAACAATAAGAAATAGTAGCAATATGCTGATAAAAAAATCATCAGCAGGACATATGTTAACTTAAGAATTCTTAGAACTCACCTCTGGGATCCAATTTTGATGTTTGATATGGAAAGCTTGTCTATGTCACTATATACTATTGATGATTTCTCTAGAGTGTCGTTTGTCCAATTGACTGGTACCAGCACTGCAAATGCCGCTATCGCGATAGGCACAAATATTTTAAGTCTGAGAGAAGGAACAGAAACATCATTAGCAAAAGAAACAGAAAACTAAGAATAAGATCCACTGCTGTATATTTTCTGAAGAAAAACCGCGTAAACAGAATGCAGCTAAGAAAATAATATAGACGACGAAAAAACATTTGCGAAATAAGAAGTTAAACTTAAGTTTCGCAGTTGTCACTGATGGTAAAGAGAAAGAGACAAATGCAGAAAGCAAAGGATGAGATGGTATTCTCACAAAAAGAAGAAAAAATTCACAAATTTGATTGGACCTAAGGTGGAGACATGTTGATATGCAAACATAGAAAATGGCCATGATGAGGAGATACAATTTGATTCCCGATGATAGCCGGACATTTTTTCACCTCAATTGTCTTCCAATCAGTTAGTAATATATCATTTGACTAAGGTTGTAGAAGGAAAAAGGCATACCCAATCAAGTATATCCTCAAATAAACACCAGAATCTAGCCCTGCATGGTCAATGAGCTCAGATTCAGGCATTTTGAGGGCAGCTGGCATCCATTCCAGAAATCTCAGATATGACCTGAAGTTTAAATTAATAAACTTTGTCACTACTGTTCCAGAGCTTGTTGGACTGCTCCTTACACCTTTAAGATACCATTTTGGGAAGTAAACTCTGTCATTGAATGGCTGGAGTCTTAGTATTGCAAATGCCACGAAGAAAGCGAAGGCTGTTAGTATATTTATAGCTGCAGAGAGCCCTATGTCGGCAATCGTAGCCATAAATATCTGTCTCTCAATGATTACAGTACCAACCTCCCTGTAACATTATAAATTATCAAAAAGATTAAACATGCCATTTAAACATCATGTGCAAATAAAGGAGTTGAAATCCTTAGCTTTTCACTCTTGAATCCAGATTATTAGATGAATAGGAAGCAGCAACAAACAGAAATAATATATACAAAGACGAGAACAAAATATTTCATCAGATGCTGCAGGTTAGTTGCAAAAGAGCTATTTACAAGCGGTATAATCACATAAGGAAACCTCTTTTGCAATCAAGATGGTAAAATCTTTCAAATCTTCGCTATTTTGAAACGGAGGAAACAGGCTATCCAACTAAGGTTTGTTCACTCATGAAAACAAAATAGGCATCTATGATGATTGATGAAGAAAACACTAGACGCGTTACAATATACTTCGAGTTAATTTAATTATTATTATAGACCTTGCATTGCATATCAATTATATATCACTACTGCAAAACTTTCTTTACTGTTGATAACAAAATTACACCAGACAAGAGATTCAAACATTCAGAAGTCTTGAACCCTGACCAAGGAGAAAAAACTAGAGTACTAAGATCTTTTCGTGATAATTTTTACTACATAAAGTTAGCTGCATCGCAATAACAGTAATGCGTTGGATCAAACTCTAATTAGTCCACTCGTCTACTTGAAAGTGAGCTTATTTCACACTGATTCAACAACTAAATATCCCAGAGCAATAATGCAAACCGCATAAGTAAACATCTAGAATGCTTACTGAAATTGTGAAAAGAGATAATGGACACAAATTTGAGAAAACTAAGCAAAAGAAATGGGATTACCAAAATCAATGAAGATGATCTTGTAAGAATGGGCATGCATCAAATACAGATAACAAAGGAGATTATTTCGAAAACTCTATTGAGTAACTAGACATTTCACCCCCTTCCAATTTAAAGACCCCAATTGAACTGTCTTCAATAGAACAGGAAATGATCGTGCACTTACTAATAGATTGGACGATCAGACCAACATTAGGAGCTCTTTGATGAAAACTATGAAAGCATAATAGTTTAACAAAGTGACATGACTTGCACATATATAAGTTCCCATCTTAAGCATTTAGTTTTCAATCTCAAAAAATTAAAAAAAACTATTAAAAATTTAATCACAAAACTCCAAGGTCTGCCACGGGGAATTTACGAAATAAACCAAAATTAGCAGTTTATAACAAGAATGCTTCGTATAGACTTAGTCATGCCGTACGCATTAGCGTCATAATAAATTAACCATAGCCTCTCCTCAAATCAAAACTGGCTCCATTTGGATCCTGATCAGTTCTTAACCTTTCTTTAACTAATTCAATTGGGTTTACTGGAAAGCAACTAAAAAACATCCCACTGTGAAACATTGCTTCAAAATTCTAGAAAAATGCCAATTTATTCTACCAAAATTGGAGGAAAAAAGGGCGTACCTTTGAGAATGAAATCAAGGCCTGACATCAACTCGATCGATCTTCGCCAAACTGAGAACTTTAAGTAGAGATCTCTTCAACCTTTCAACAAAAGCAACTGAAATTTTGAGAGAGAGAAGGTCGAAACGCTTGAAGAAAGAAAAACTATTTTCTTGTTTGTTTCAGTTCACCAAATAAATGCGTGAGAAAACTGAAAGGGGGAAAAAAGGGAGACATATAAAATTTTAGGGTTTTAACAGTGTTTTGAGAGATGCAGAATATTTTAAGTAGTGAGATGACGAGGGAGGGGGGAGTAGCCAGTGGGGGATGGAGCCGTTAGAAAAGGGCGAGGGAAAAAAAATTAACTTATGGGTTATTGCGATATTAATCCCTCACATCCTCAATAATTTCATATTAGTCTCTCTAATCTCATAATTGCTCCTCAGTTCCTCAAATCCTAAGAAGTCCTGCCATTCGGTGCCTCAGTGATCATTACTCTTTAATTACAATTTCTCTCTTAAATCTCATCTTTTTCAGAACATAATTATTTACACTTTTGTACACTAAAGTTTACAATTTTTTATTTTAATGTCTAATGTTTTTTGCTACTTTAATTTACATCTTTTTTTAAATTTAGTACTTTAGATTTATTTTTTTTCTTACACTTTTGTTATGACAAAGTTTATACTTTTTTTAACTTCGATACCCTCAAATTTTATTTTTTGTACACTTTGATAGCCTAAAGAGTATCAAAGTTTAAAAATGTGTAAATTTTGAGGTATCAAAGTTCTAAAATATGGAGTCCATGGGGTATGTAAGTTAAATAATATGTAGCCTTTGAAGTATCAAAGTATCAAAAAAGTTTGAGGTATCAAAGAGGGAAAAAAGGTGAAAACTTATGGGGTATAAAATGTCAAAATTTTGGGTCTCAAAGTTTATAATGGCTAAATTTTAGAGTGTAAAGTTGCAAGTAATAATTAACAAGACATTGGTTGAGAATATTGTGGTCATTAAGGGACCAAATTGTAATAATCCTTGGCTTTTAGGGACTAATAAGCAATCACTTAGGTTTTAGGAACAATTATGGAATTATTGAAGATATGAGGGACCCATGTCTAATTAACCCCTGATTTATTTGGTGGCGTCCACACGTGGATAAATTTGTTTTGTAGTTTTATTCATCTCACTTCCAAACGAAAATTACAGGAAAGTACATTACAAACAGATAATTACAGTCTTACACAGAGATCACCAACCTACTAATGAGAGGCATTTTGAATAAGAGTTTTGTTACATAGACCCAAAATATGGGACTAATAAGAGGGACAAGTGAGGTGCCCCCCTCCTATTGGATAATGAGTTTGCCATCATTAATGATGGCCAACTCATTATCCAATAGGAGAGGGACACCTCACTTGTCCCCCCTATTAGTCCCTTATGAACAAAATTTAGAATTATGACATCAGGCTTTTACTAGAGAAAATCATAATGAACTTCCGAAGCGGCAGAAAAAAATCAAAAGATAGAGTTAACAACGTTAATTGTTTAGATAAACGCTTCAAACTATACTTGAAAATAGGCGTACAGGGGAGAGAGTAAGACAAATGACACAAAAAAGTGAAAAAAAAAAATTGCAAAATTTTCGAAAAACATGTTAAACACGAAACACTCTACAATTTTGCACAGCACCCATCAAAGTTTCATGTTAGTTTATTATCATTTTAGACTTCGTGTAGGAGCAAAACTCATTATTCTCACAAAAGTGTGCTGGCATCCTCAAGTTGATAATACGTGTGAGTGTTGATTGTTGATTAGTGCAGCTTGATACAGTTGTTTATGAAT